ATTTTTCCATCCTTTTTAGGCACAGGCACTACGTTGGCTACCCAATCTGGGTATACTGAGACTTCTATAAATTCTGCCTCTAACAACTTTGTCACCTCTTCTTTGATTTTCAGGGATATATCTGGGTGCATCCTCCTTAACTTCTGCTTTTTTGGTTCAGCATCCGGGTACAAGGGAATTTTATGTGATGCAATCCTTGGATCTACTCCAGGCATATCTCGGTACGTCCATGCAAAGACATCTAGATACTCTTTGAATAATTGAATCATCTCTTCCCGCTCGGGATTATCAACAATTTTCAATTCTTTCTTCTCTTCCTCAGTGCCCATATTGATTAACTCAAACACCTCATCATTCAAATCAAATTTCTTTTCCGAGCCTTCTAACAACTTTGAAAATTCTTCTACTATTTGCTCCTCATCAGACCCCTGATCTTCTTCATTGATAGCCACAAGAGAATCAATCGGTGAGTTTTCAAGGTCCCTTTCATGAGGCTGCAACATAACATAAGTTTCAAAATGGCTCAAACAGCTGCTAATACAAATCAACTAGACAATTACTTCATAGCAATCACATCAATAACTGGCTCTGTCTGCCAATTCTTCAATGCTCCATCATTAGTGGACAGACGAATCGTGCTGCATCCTTCTAGGTCTTCATCATCCAGTGCATTGATATGTGGGAGATGAACGACCTCTTCAGGCATAATAACCTCTGCTGGCACCGGGAATGTTTCTCTTAGATGGGGAATTTGTTGCGTCTTGCCCTTGTTGCCTCTTTTTCTCTCAACTTTTTCCTCAAACGACCCTTCATACCCTAAACCAAATTTATTTGATTTTTCTGGAACCATTATAGGTGATCGGCTACCTTGCAGCTGCGAGCCCAAACCTTTACCCACCTTATATCCACTCTTGGCCATAATTCGAGCGATTATCTCATTCACACCTTGCCCCAGTGATTCATCTTTTTTGCAACTAGATTCAACAACTTCAAAACTATGCCACCCATTTCCTTCTATGGGATCTGTGTCTTCAACATACGGCACCGAGACCGGTTTAGAAACCATGATTTCTTCTTCTCCATGGATGGTGACAATCAACTCATTCTCGATATATTTGACCTTTTGATGCAGGGTAGAAGGCACAGCACCTGCTGCATGGATCCAAGGTCTACCCAGGAGCATGGTATAGGCAGGTTCGATATCCATGGCTTGGAATAAAACCTGAAAATTACTCGGGCCTATCTCTAAGGGTAAAACTATCTCCCCTAGGATTCCTCTCTTTGTACCATCAAAAGCTCGCACAATCATCTCTTGAGGGGTTAAATCATTCGTGCTCATCGATAGCTGAGACAAAGTTGACAGTGGTAGGACATTTAGTGCTGATCCTCCGTCAATCAAAACCTTGGCTATAATATACCCTTTACATTTCAGCGTTATATGCAGAGCTTTCGAGGTTTTCTCCGATGAACAGACAACTTCATCATTTGAGAATGTGATCATGTTAACATGTTTCACTGGATCTACCATGTTGACCACGTTTTCAGGAGTAACATCTGACTTGACATAAGCCTCACTCAACATATTCATGAGCGCCTTTCGATGAGATTCCGATGAGAGGATTAGTGACAGAAGTGATATCCTAGCTGGAGTTTTCTTCAACTGTTCCATCACATCGTATTCACTTTGCTTCATGATCTTTAAGAGCTCATCTTCCTCTTTTCCTTCTTTCTTTTCATTGTTGATGATTCCTTCACCTCCTTCTTCCTTTCCATTTTTCTTCATTTCTAGTTCTTTCGGGCAATAGAATCTCCCGCTTCTCGTGACTTCCCCCACTCTCATTGTGTTCATTGATTCTTCCACCGAGCGAGTATCATCAACATTGGCTCTCGAGGTGTTTCCAATTTCTTCAACACTTGTCTCGTAGTTCCACGGTACTGCATGAGTATCATTATAAGAAAAAGGCGTTGGTTTCTTCACTTTCATGACCATTTTCTCAGGCACAGGATGCTTGTTAATAGGTGGCACCCGAAGTACAAAGCGTTCTACTATATTAACCTCTTCAGGAAAAGCATTCTTTCGCCTGGCCTGTATGATACCCAATGCGATCAAGCCTTGGATTCGGACTTTGAAATCCCAGCAGTTTTCAATATCATGTCCTGTGTGTCCATTGTGGTACGCACAACTTGACTCATCATCGTATTTTTCATCATCCTTCATGAAACGCCCTGGCACCGTGATGTCATAACCAGCTTTCTTTAAACACTCCCATATACCCGACATGGGTGTACGCAGACTCAGAACTTTCTTTATCACGGTATCCTCTGTTTCTATAGCATTCACCTGATTCTTTCCTTCATGACTCGGGATGGGGTTATTGACAATATTAGGCCCAGTCTCTTCTTGGATATCCAATCTTCCGCAAGCAATCAACTTTCTTACTGCTGTTTTGAAGGCCTCACAATCTTCAATGGAATGTCCTGCCACTCCCATATGATATCTACAAGTAGAATTTGGATTATACCATGCTGGGAACGGAGGTTGCATTGGGCGCACAGGGTTTTCCGAGATCAAATGAGCATCAAACAGACGTTGGAATAAATCCGTATTGGAGATAGACAGCCTTGGAAATGGTGGAAGATTTTGGGGACGAAAAGGGGTTTGGTTTTGGGAGTTTTGCTGTGGTTGAGTGTAATTTGGACGATACTGTGGACGTGTGGGGGGACGAGGAGCATAAGACGGACGAGTTGGCACATATGGTGATGGGGTAGGTATGTTATTTACACGAAAATGTGGGGTGGGCGTAGTGCTTAAATTTGGGAAGTTTTGTGGCGGCGGCTGAGAGAATGTGGGGGTCTGGTAAGAGGGATACGGGGTAGGATGGTACGATAGTATTTGGTGGACTGGGTTTGGCATGGGGTATTGAGGAACAAAAAATTGTTGTTGTTTGACATGATTTACTTCAGATTCTCGTTTCTTGGATTGCAACCCTTTTTTAGGAGGGCTACTCTGCCTGTAGTCCATTGGCAGCTTTCCAGCCTTGGCCAATATCTCAATTCGTTCCCCTGCCGCTATGAGATCAGCAAAGTCACGATACGCAGCGCCGGCCATCGTTCCAACATATGGAGCTCCTAAAGTCCCTAGAAAATAAGAGCACATTTCAGACAGTGTCAGCGGAGGTTGGACTTGTGCAGCAAGAGCTCTCCATCTCTGGGCATACTGCTTAAAGGTTTCATCATTCACCTTTTGCAAAGCCCCTAACTGTTCCCTAGTTGGGGCAGTATCTAAGTTGAAGCGATATTGGTTCATGAATGCGTCTGCCAAGTCTTTCCAACAGGAAATTTGTTTTGTTCTATTTATTTATTTGATTTTTGTTTTTTTCTTAAACTCTAAATTTCGGTTAGGCAGTCCTCAGCATAAATACTTACATAAATAATTCACACGCCTAGGTGTGCATGTGTCATATTATAAAAGTTATACACACCAACGGTTAATTAAAGAATATATAATAGAGAACTTCTCTCTAATAATTGCTGTTAATGTGTTCCATTCTTGAGTGATAAAAGCTTTACTCTGATTAGCAATTCTTAACGACAAAATAATAACATTTTTTAATTGTTGTGATATTTTATAAACATTAGTTCCGAAAAATAATATTAGAAAAAACATATTTTATCAACCACCAAACTAAAATTCTTTGTATACATATCGACATCAAACAATAATTTTCTGAAAAATAAAACAATATTTATGGAACAATCAAAAGGAAAGAAAAAAGAAAGGAGGAAACAAAAATAGAGTCAGCGAAACAGTTCACCGTGCTTTGGAGCCGACCACAGCAGCCTAGAAGATCAAACAAAGTACTGTGTCTTTTACCATTCCACTCTTTGAAACAAGTTAAGCTATTTCAACCAGAAAAGTTTTATATAGGTGTAACGACCCGAAATAAAAAAAATAAAACAAAGGAGTCACCACCAATTTTATTTACTTTGGAAAAATTGGAAAACCTCTTATTGCAAACTGGTCTTTAAAACTTTAGATCAAAGGTTCGGGAGTCTAATTACGCGCAGGGAAGGGTGAAAACTTAATCCCACTGCACCCCTGACACATCCGTTAAAAAACGGTTACCTTGAATTAATTGTGCGAATTATTAATAACTTTTAAAAATATTTGCTTCATCCCTTAAAATAAATATGATTACTTAATTAAGAAAAAAAAAAAAAGACTAAAATTATTAAAATTTTATTTTAGCTTGACGGAAAAGAGTTCCGCTCCGACGTACCCTCCGGTGCAGTGAGGAATTCAAAGCTACGTCGTTCTCTATAAAATATTTGTGTGTTGATTGATTTTAATTTTGAAAGTAGTTTTAAAGAAATTAATTTGAAAATTTTGGATTTGATGGTTTCGGAATATCAAACTGTCGCAGCTAAAATAATCCGAAATGATAATTGCAGGATTAACAAACTATCTCAACTCAGCTAATCCTTTCTTTTAAAAAGAATAATAATATTCATATTATTATTTTTTGTTATCGTAAATTTTATGATAAATTTGATTTAATTTTGAATCACCAAGCCGTCACGGCAAAAATGAGTCAAAACAAAATGTGTGGGGGTAACAAGCCGTCACGGCTTAGCTGACTCCCATTTCTATTGATAGTGAACTAATTTTCTTTATTTTTTATGTTTTGAATTAACCCCAAAAACAATAATTTTAAATAAAACTTTGATTTTTTGTTTATTTGTTTATTATTACTGAATGGTTTAAAATCAAACAGACTGTCCCAGTCAAAATGATTCTAAAAATAATGAGATTAACAAGTTGTCTCAACTAAATTATCCCTTTACGATAGTTTTAATATGATAATTTTTATTTCAATTTATTGTAACACTTGGTATAGTAATATATTCGGTCCACAAAAAAGAATTCAAATCAAGTTGATTATGTACAGGTATAGTAACAACATATCATATAATAACATTTGGATCCTTGACCAAAATATCGTGAGCCGTAATTAATACCAACATTATTATACTGTGAGGAAAAAGGAATGAGTTAAAAATAAAATAGGTGTGCAGAACATGGATCAAAGAAACTGATGTTTGCTATATTAAAATATTTTTTCTTTTAACTTTTAGGAATCTTATATCTTTTGCATATTTATAGTATGACCAATCCAATCCTAGCCTCCTGCAAGAAAAGATGTATTCTGTTGTCCTTCCTTTAACTTTTAGATATTTTACTCTCTTTTTCGTCACATGTGTTACTTGCACATTCATTATCTATTATACACACACAAAATGGTCAGCTCACATTACAAGCCGTAGGTACTTTAACAAGTTCAACCAAACTGAACCTATCATAGTTATCAACTCAAAACACAAGTAAGAAATAAATTAAACAAAAACATTCTACGCTAGCCACAAGTAAAAAAACTTGCTGGTTACCTTTTTGGACGTCGCAACAGGGAAGAAAAATTTAGCAAATGAAAGAGATTCGGTGCTTTGGTCAGATACAAAGTGATGGGTCAATGGTGATTTTGGTTTGACTCACGGTGGCGTGGTATTGCGCACGGTGGTTGGCAGCGGCGGTGCTCTGCTTGGTGCACACAGTGGCTGGTAGAGGCACTAATAATCTGGCTGGGTTTGATGGTGTTTCAGAAAATGGCACCCACACACTTATTACAGTATTGTTTTTTTTTGGATTTGGGTTTGAAGGTGTATGGGTTGATAGTGGTTGAAGATTGTAGAGAAAATTTTTATGCTTTCTCTCCCCCTCTCTTCGTTCTCCTTTTCTATATCACGGCTGAAAAGGCTATGGTGTCATTGGTACTCCATTTTCTTCCCCTTTTTTACTTGCATCTCCTTCTCTTTTATCATGATGAAGGCGGTGGAACTTTTAGAATAACAATAATATTTTTTAGACACCCCCTGCAACCCTTCTATGGTCATTCTTCACCGCCCTATCTCTGTTATCTCGCCCCCTCTACTTCCTTTACTGTTAGCTTTTATAGAAGAAAAACATCAGCCTTTCCTCCTTAAGCCCGATGGATTTAAGAAAGAGTTGGATCTTCCATGCATTCCAAGACGCTCAGGCCTACTCAGTGTGTGGTCTTCTCCAATTTCTTCTTTTGGACATTGCTTCTAGCTTTTGATTCTGCTCCTCACCTATTTTTGCTCTCTGCTCTTCTTTGAACAAAGTGGCTCTACTTACACAGAGGCGCCAGCTGAGTTGCTCCGTTTTGAGCAGTGATATTGACACATTGATGGGGACTATGGGTTTTTTCATTATCATTTTTTTTTATTATTATTTTTTTATTTTTTTTTTATTATTTATTTATTTTATTTTATTTGAGAAAAATGGTGCTCATAATAAATTTTTATTTAGGACAAAATTAGGTGTTCACAATAGGTGTCTTTCACATATGGTGGAATCTGCGATAAAAATAAGAGAGGAGACCCCACATGCCAGAGGAAACAGTGGCATTGAATTGAAATTCAATTGCTTCTTCTGATTCTTCCTTTCTTTTTTTCTTTTCTTTTTTTCCAGTCAGTGTTTTTTGGTGGTTTTAAGGAAAGCAAATAAAAAAAAAAAAGAGGCTCATCAAAGATTCCACTCTTGGCTTTTTAATCCCTTTTGGCCTTTCTTGGCCTCCCTGTATTTGCGTAGGATCCAAGTACTCCTCTTTTCACTCTTTGCAGTCAAAAAGCTATTCTGGGATCACACACGCACGCACGCACGCACACACAGAGAGAACCATTACTGTGTGGTTGACTATGTTTTATTTGGAATAAGAAACTGTACTTGAACTGGGATTTGTCTGATTCCATTGTCTCTGCTGATTCCTAATCTCTTCCCAGTGAGTTCTCTACTCTATTGTGTGACACAAATTCTCTCTCTCTCTCTCTCTCTCTCTCTCTCTCTCTCTCTCTCTTCCCGTTCCTTTTCGTATCTGCTCTAACAAATTGTCAAGTAGGGGACTTTATGCTTGCGGGGTTTTGAATCAATAATCAATATAGATGGTGGGGTTGGTGGATTTTTTTTTTTTTTTTTTTTTTTTTTTTAATATATGCATGTGGAATTTGAATTTCTCTTGAAGCAATTCAAGTTGGGTCCATTTATTATCAAGCCTTATAGGCTTTTCTTTTTACAAAAAGAAAAAAGAAAGGAAAGAAGAAGAGCATATTGGGTGCTTCGGAATTGAAGAAATTTGAGCTATCTAATATGTTTGATTGGAAAGTCGAAGTTTTTCTTGTTTCCTTACTTTAAGGTTTGGTTGATTCTGGTACATGAACGAGACTTTTAACATTATTTTGTTGTTGATATGAATATGCTATCGATTGTAGATAGAAGTCCGTTTGTCATATTTCTTGCGTTTTTATATTCCCTGCTCTTGATGTTGGCTATTTCTTGCCGGTGATAATACCTCAATTAGTACAGGATATTAACACTTTTAGCATCACAGCATGTTTTTCTGATAAAATTTGTTTGTGTATTTTATTTTATTTCTATAAATTCTGGAGAGATGATCATGCTACATATGTAGATTGAACCTTGAGGCCTTGCTTGTAGTTTCTGGACATGCTTAATTATTCTGTGGAATTTCCTTCTATGTAAATTGTTGTATATATTTTCTTACCTACTTGTGGGGTTTTATTTCAGGAATTTGCCAACCTTCAGCAAATAATATTGCATGGGTTGGTTTACCAAGCTGCTTAAGGGGTCCAATCGTAAATATTCAGGAGGACAAAGTAATGGGAAATATGGAGATGATAGAATTTCGAGTGATCATGATTATTCAGTGGTAATCACACTCTCTTGCTTCTAATAAAAACTGACCATTTTGTTACAACTTATCATGGCATTATTCTAGTAGTTTATCTGATTTTAGCATTGTAGTAGCATGAATCCAATGTGTACTAGTTCCTTTTAGAATTATGAAGAGATTGTCTGTAGTTGTAATAGTGGCAAACCGAGTGCAGGATGATTTGACGGATGTTGAGAAAGAAGAAATTGATTGTGCTATAGCGCTCTCTCTTTCGGAAGAAGATCAGAAAGGGAAAAAAGTTATTGGTGAGAGTTATGCTTTTGCAAATTGGTGGTTAAGATTCATTTGCTGCTTTGTGTAACTTTAGTACAATTAGTAATTCAGTATATGAGATACGTAAAATGTATGTTCTACGCAAAATGCATATTCATTTATAAGATGTTCTTGTATACATCTTGGCTTCTTCATTCTTTTTTGATAAAACTATGCTTTACAAGTCAATGACTATCATGTAATTGTTCAAATCTCTTGTTTTAAATGTAATTTTGAATCTGTACACAAGAATTATCAGAATTTGTTGACTCTAGTGGTTTGCATAAGTTGAAATTCAAAGTACATACCATATTTTACGTATGGTTAGACTCCATTGAAGAAATTCTGGAATTTCATTTGGTATATATGTTTTTGGAAAAGGATTCTCGTATTCAATTATTTTTTTCCCCTGCCAAAGTATTTAAAAAGGCCTCTTGTTTTTTGCCTCACAATACTTCAGAGGATGACTCTGAAGATGATGGACAACCTCAATCTGAAGATGATGAACAACTGTGTCAAATTGATGAGAAGGAAGATGAATGTCTTGGTGAAGTTCAACAAGAGGAAGATGACTATCCTGCAAAAGTTCAACAGGATGAAGATAAACATCTTGATGAAGTTCAACTTGAGGAAGATGAACAACTTGCCAGAGCAATTCAAGAAAGTTGGAGCATTGGTTCTCATCCTCGATCTGACACTGGTTCTTTATTTCAACCTTTTTCACACCTCTTTCCACCTGTATACAGGTAACTGTGGGAAAGATGACATATTTATCTAGTTAGTGAGTACAAATACCAAATTGTTATAGTTCTCTAATTGTGATAAATAATGGGGACAAATGACTGTTCCCATGAGCAGAATTGATTTTATGGAATACTTATGAAAACAAAGTCAGTCCTAACAGACAACTTTTCCAAACTTCAATATGAAAAATTTCTGAATAATGCTGGGATAATATCAGAAATGCAGATATGTAGACTAAAGATTGTTGATTTTTTTTCCTCCATGTTTCTCTCACTCATTTTTCCTCGCATCTCTCTAATGGTTGATTTTTAACATCTTATAATCTAAAAGTAATTTGAGAGGATGAGTGGAAAATGATGCTTTTTCTCTTTTCTACAAATAATCAACAAAATGAAGCATGAATAAAATCTTGGCATCATTATAGGGGATGTTATGTGTTACCATAGTTTGATTAAATCTAAGTAGAGATAAGAGGCAAAGTTTTAATGTGTTGTAAATTATATTTTAAATTGAGATTATGTATCTTATTTTAAAAAGTGCTACAGGGATAAACAAGAGTGCTAATGTGTCTGACTAACTTATACGGACTTGACATCTGGTAATCCTATTTTAATAGACTGAGATTCTAGTCTAAAGCCACGAACTGGGATAAATTCTGCAATAGGATTTGATATGTGATGCCTCGGATGTTAGTTTTCCTTCTTGTTCTTAAAGTTCCTTTGGCTTATATGAAAATGATGCAAGGACAGTCCTTAAAACGAACATTTGATTATGGGGGTTAATTTAGTGTCATATTTAAGGTAACTTGTGAGCACTTGTCAACAGCATGGATCCAGATATGAGATATCTATAAAGTTTCCTTTTCATAAATTCTTGAATCTTATACAAACAGAGACTAAACCTGGTTCTTGGAAAATGTGCTTGCAGAATCTGTGCTGGGTGCAATGCCGAGATTGGCCATGGAAGATTTTTGAGTTGCGCGGGAGCTGTCTGGCATCCAGAATGTTTCTGTTGTCATGCTTGTAAACTGCCAATCACTGATTATGAGGTCAGAGTCTTGTTTCGATTATTGCATGCTTCATGAAACTAATTTGTTTAATTTCAACACGTTTAAACTTTCTTCTGGAATTCATATACGGAGATATTGCACTTATTTTGCTTATTTCTTTGTGGTATGAATGTAAATAATGCTTGAATCTTTATTCATGTACAGTTCTCCATGTCTGGAAATCACCGTTACCATAAATCTTGCTATAAAGCGCTGCATCACCCCAGATGTGATGTTTGCAAGAACTTTGTAAGTGTTAGCAGTTGTTTTTTGCTTATACTTTTTTTAATAACCAATTGTGTTGTGCTTGATTTGGATAATAGTTTTCGTTAAATTTTGATGTGCTTTAGAAATTTCACTACAATGTCTATGTGCTAGGAAGACCATTGATACTGAGCTGTTCCAAAAATTACTTAAAATTGCCTGAAATCAGAACAGTACCTGAGAATGTTCTGCTGAAATATATTGTCTGTGCTTTTTATGAGTCAGATAAAAGTTTGATTTTTAATTTTGGCCAAACAGATGTTAGTAAGAATGTATGATTACTTAATTTTTAATAATTGGCTCATGATTTGCAAGAAATCGTGGATCAGCAAGTTAAAATCATTGTACACCTATTGTTCAAAACTGCTCTGAGATGTAGGATTTTCTAATTATGCATGTTTAACTTTATATCAAATATGTTGTCATGGGTAAAAAAGGCCTTTTTTGGGGCAATGACATCATTTTCAGTCATCCAATATAATTGGAGACAAACTTAATATTTTTTAGAGATATATAAAAACCATTAATGTAGCCTCACCCACCAGCTTAAGCTTTTGGGTTGAATTGATTCTTTACATGATATCAGAGTCTATGACCAAGTGGTCACGGGCTCGATCTTCATTGCCTCCCATTTAGTTAATAATTAATTAAGTCCTATGGAGTTTCTTAGCACAGGTAGGTTGGACCTGTTGCATCATCCACCCTTCAAGCCCAATCGGCTCTTGTGTGATGGGGCGTGTTAGAGATATATAAAAACTATTAATGTAGCCTCATCCACCAGCTTAATTTTTTGGGTTGAATTGGTTCTTTACAATATTTCAAGAAAATTGAAAATGAAACCATTTGAATCTAGGTCAACTGTTGTTCCTTTTACTACAAAATGCTAAAGTTAATAGGTGGGACTATATTATTTGGAAATCTTTGACATGTTGATTGGAGCAGTTTTGCTAGTGTTTTGTTAATGGAGTTATATTTACCCAATGCCTTCAATCACACGGGGTTTAAGTGAAACAAGAAAATAGAATTCAGAAAGGTATAAGTGAAGCAACTCTAATCCATGAGGGTGAACATGTAATGCTCCCTTACCTTTTTTGAAATTAAATTTAACTATCTGCCTTGTTTTGTTGTTCTGATTTTGCAAATTATAGATATAGATATACAGTAAATTGAATAATTGATTCTTTCATTGCAGATCCCATATAATTCAGCTGGTCTCATTGAGTATAGAGCACATCCTTTCTGGCGACAAAAATACTGTCCATCACATGAGCAAGATGGAACTCCTCGTTGTTGTAGCTGTCAAAGAATGGAGGTCAGTTATATGACTTATATCAGCTCCCAAAACATTTCATCATGTGTTGTTACCAACAAGGAGATACTGTTGGATCCCGTCCCTTCCACCTTTTTCTGTTTTTCTCTTCTTTTTTCTCGTTTTCTAATATGAAACTTTCCAATCAGTGCAGTCAAGGGACACAAAATATCTATTGCTTGATGATGGACGAAAACTGTGTCTTGAGTGTCTTGACTCAGCTATTATGGATACTCATGAATGCCAACCTCTCTATCTTGAAATACAAGAATTTTATGAAGGTTTAAATATGAAAATAAAGCAGCAAATTCCTATGCTTTTGGTTGAGAGACAAGCACTGAATGAGGCCATGGAGGGGGAAAAGAATGTAATTGTTAATGTTTTGAACTTTCATTCGTGATATGTGCCATTTATTTCTCTTCTTTATGTCATACTGTTTCTATTGTCCTAATTTTGGATTGTTCCTTTGGTTTTTTTCTATCGAATGTAGGGTCATCATATCGTATCTGAAACTAGAGGACTTTGCTTATCAGAAGAGCAAACTGTCCCCATGGTAGGGATGTCTTGTGAAAATTTTATTCTCGATTGATAATTTTCAATTCTCTTATAAAATATTTCTGTTTATCAAATAGTGGTTTTTATTTATTTCTTGTAATTCCAGATTTTAAGGAGACCAAGTATTGGGGCAGGCTACCGGGTCATAGATATGATAACTGAGCCTTATAGGCTGATTCGTCGTTGTGAAGTGACAGCCATACTTGTTTTGTATGGCCTTCCTAGGTATCCTTCTGATACCATTTAGTTTCATAACCTACAATTACTTGCATATAAAATTCACTGTGTATAATTCAAGGATTTTATGTTCACAGGTTATTGACAGGAACGATCCTAGCTCACGAAATGATGCATGCTTGGCTTAGGCTTAACGGTACTATCAGCTTTCATGTGATCAACACCATGTAGGAAATTTATATTTTAATTTCATCATGTAAAGTTGGACAAATTTTTGTGGTTTTGACAGGCTTTGGCACTAATCTGAGGCCAGAAGTTGAAGAAGGAATTTGCCAAGTCTTGGCTCATATGTGGTTAGATTCAGAGATATATTCTGGCTCTGGGAGTGATGGTGCATCATCATCATCTTCATCATCCTCGTCATCACCTTCCTCCACTACATCATCAAAGAAGGGTAAACGTTCTGACTTTGAGAAGGAAGTTGGTAATTTTTTTAAACACCAGATTGAGACAGATAGCTCATCAACATATGGAGAGGGATTCAGACAGGGCAACAAGGCAGTGCTCAAGTATGGACTTGGAAGGACCCTTGACCATATCCGAATGACTGGAAGTTTTCCATATTGAAATCTTACCTTTACATCAACCAATATTTCAGCTTTTTCATATAAAATATATAAGACGAAAAGATTCCAAAATCATATAATTTCACACTATTCTGAAGGATATAAGAAATGAAAAATGCTTATGTTACTGTTAGTTTGCAGTTACTGCAATCTTTTTGTTTTTATTTCTTTTTCTTTGGGGGAAATGTGCAGTTGCTGTAATCTCCAGTTCAATATTGACACCTCATATGTATCAAACAATACCTTCCAGCAGTTGAAAATACAAAACAGCTGAAACAATTACAATAAAAATTATTGTTTATTTTGGATTTGGCCAATCAGCATGGAATTTTACTCCCCTAGTTGGAGGTTGTAATTGAGAAAGCTGGTATCTCAGTACTTTTGTGATGACTGTTCAACCATGTACGGTAAGTAAAGACAGCATTTGCTGTATAATAGTTGTCATACAGAAGCAGAGTCTTTGATGGTACCAATATGAAAATTAACATAGACCACTGAATTTTCAATTGAATAGTATTTAATTCAAAAGAACTATTACAAACTCCTATAAAAAATCAGAGTGAGTAATGATAGAGAATTACACTGACCCTGAAAAGACAAACAACCACAAATGTTCAATAACTACAAAGGCTCAATGCTCCCCATAGCAGAATTATGCAGCAAATGCCCAACCCAACTACTCCTACAAGCGATAGCACCACTTGTAGAGTTCCCTCTTCCCTCTATTCACGTTTCTGATCATCGATGCCTTTTTTCATGCCATTCCTTTCCTTATAACTAATTTCTACCACCTTGATTCCCAATTTCTCCCTCTCCGTTCAGAGCATGCCAAGTTGTCCAACCCTCCCTACTTTTCTTTCCTACTTCCATTCTATTATTTCCCTCTGAAATTGCCACTTCCTCAATATTATTGCCTTGTTGGGTTTTGTTACTCCCCTAGCTCTTCCATCCCTACTTCACTTATAAGTATATTTTAGGGGTCCCTTTTTATAACCACTTTGTCCTCAAAGTGGAATGAGGGAAACTGATCCTTCAAGTAAAGAACCTTGGGATACACCACCCCAAAAGCTAGCTCAAAGGGTGGGAGTGCCCAAGGCCTTATAAACTCCACATTAGTTGCACATACAACCAATGTGAGACTATATATCTCAACACGCCCCCTCACACGAAAGTCCATTGGGCTTGAAGAGTGGATGATGCAACAGGTCCAGCCTACCTGTGCTAAGAAATTCCACAAGAGAAAGTGGGGGGCGGCGAGGCTCTGATACCATATAAAGAACTTTTTTGTGCTTTTTTATTTTATTTTAATTCCACTTTTTAAAGCGGGGGACGGTGAGGCTCTGATACCATGTAAAGAACCTTGGGATACACCACCCCAAAAGCTAGCTCAAAGGGTGGGAGTGCCCAAGGCCTTATAAACTCCACATTAGTTGCACATACAACTAATGTGGGACTATATATCTCAACACGCCCCTCACACAAGAGCCACGCCCCTCACACAAGAGCCCATTGGGCTTGAAGTGTGGACAATGCAACAGGCCAGCCTACCTGTGCTAAGAAACGCCACAAGAGAAAGTGGGGAGCGGCGAGGCTCTGATACCATGTAAAGAACCTTGGGATACACCACCCCAAAAGCTAGCTCAAAGGGTGGGAGTGCCCAAGGCCTTATAAACTCCACATTAGTTGCACATACAACCAATGTGGGACTATATATCTCAACAGTCTCTACCTCTTCGTAAGATCTCTTACAGTCTAGTACATCTTCCCACTACGCTAACACCTCCACCTTGCAACTAAGTAATCTATGAGCATCCAATATAGCCATTGGTTTGACATGTAACTTGGGAGTATCAATTAAATATTTAGGGAGTTCCAATATAGGAACATCGGGATTAATAGCTTTCTTTGATTGTGACACATCAAAAACTGAGTGAAGCTTTGAATAGCAAGGGAGAATGAGCTAGTATGCAACAGGCCCACCCCCTTAACCACATCAAATGGCCCATAACATTTGGGACTCAATTTCTGATTCAAAGGTTCATCTAAAGATCTATGTTTATAATAAATGGTGGTAGCTCAGTTGGTAGTAAAAGAACTGACTAAGTGGAAAGGAAAATGTCTTAGTTTGATCCCACATGTCATCTTTTGGAGGGGTTTAAATATCTTCATCCCTAACCCGCCTCGCACTATGCATTAGTCTCATAGCCGGCTAGAAGAGTCGAAGCTTGTGAGGATACCGGGAGGAGCCAAGTCGCCTCAAAGAGATAATTAGGGTTTGGTTAACTCCAAAAAAAAAAATATATCTATGTTTATAAGGTTGCATCTTCAAATAAACCTTCTCACCCACCGCAAACTCCACTTCTCTTATGCCTTTATCTGCCTATAATTTCATCCTCTCTTGGGCCTTACATGAGTATTGTTTTAAATCTGAGGGAAGCATCTATAGCTTCCATCAATTTCTCAAATCTTCAACCGAAGACCCCCATTATCAAATCTGATCACATTTGGTGGATCTTTACCATAGACTACTTTAAAAGGGGTCATGTTTGTTGACCTGTAATACGTGGTATTGAACCATAACTCTACCCTGGGAATCCATTTAGCCACCCCTAAGGATGGCCATTTATGAAGCATCTTAAACGTCTCTTAAGGTTTTGTTTACCACTTTCGTTTGTCCATCCGTTTGTGGATGATAGGAAAAGCCAATTTATACAACTCTCACCCAAAATTTACTTACAAATACACAATCCTTGTCTAACACAATTGAACGTGTGAACCCATGGAACCTTTATGACTTCTTTGATAGAAAGGGTAGCAACTTCTTCAGTAGAAAAAAGGATGAGCCAATGTGATAAAATGGGAATACTTTGGCAAGAAATCTACTATCACCATAATTGTATCAACCCAGCGAGACTTGGACAATTCTATAATGGAATCCATACAGAGATCTTCCTACACTTGGCTAGAATAGGTAACTGATGTTGTAGCCCAATCGATTGAAGGCTGTGATATTTCTATTGTTAGCACACTCCATATGCTCTAACATAGTCCCCAACATCCCTGCATACATCCTTCCACCAGAAAACAGCCACAAGTCGCTTGTAAGTTTGCATTTCCCTAGAATGACCACCCCATGGTGAGTCATGAAACTCTTGTAAATTGATTGGAATTAGTGGTGACTGATGCTTCCCGGCAAGTATATCGATCGCACAAGTAATATAATGATAAGAAAAGTTCGTCTCCACAGGGATTGTGATCGTATATCAATTAATAGTCCTTTCAAGAATGGAGGAGTTCAAAAGGGTTTGTTTGTGACAAATAATGTCGATTTAAGTCAAATTAAAAGTAAAGACGTATCTTTGAATTTTTATATTGAAGAATAAAAATAAGAACGAAGATTGATTTTTGTGAATAAGAGAAAAACATTGTAGCTAGAGTACACTCACCATATGATCCTCGCTTCTTACTTTGGATTGATTTATAATATTCATTTATATAATTACTCAGATAAATTATTATCTAAAAATATTAATAGTTAACCCCCAATTCCTTGCAAGATTAACCCTTTAATCCCAATTGGAACTCCAATTCCTTGCAATGTTCCTTATGGCATTAAGCAATGAACTCAATAATTTAAGTATCTGCAACTAAATATACATCTATTCCTAGCATGCATAATACTTGTTATCTTACCCCTTTCAAGATGAAAACCCCAATATTCCTATCTAGGGTTCTAACCCTCAAACTATCATCAACTATCAGATTGATCAAGTCTAACAAAGAAAATAGAATTTACGCACAGGGTAAAGATAAAGATAATTATATAAACAAAAAACCATAAATCAATCTGTCTTAACAAGGGTTCACATAGGATTCGTGACCTTAACTACAATAAAAAGTAAATTAGCCAACCATTATCATGGCTAAAAATCCAATATTCAATAAAAACATAAAATAAAAGAGAAGATGAAGAAGAACTTGATCTCCAGAATCCTCTCGGAGGACTACCGTCGTCTTACTTCAATAGAATAGGTCTTCGGAATAGGATTCGATACCTAATTCTGTAAAAGGCATCATATTTATATGCCTCTTTTCCTTCTTCCAAAAATACCCTTCACAGCACGGTGTAATTTTCCCGCAAACCGGCGCCAGTTGGCGCTGGTTTAGCGCCACGCCTCTGTCTATTTTGCAAAAGTCAGAGCCGATTTCTCGTAAAGTGGCGCTAGTTGGCGCCACCTAGCTTCAATATTGGCGCCACCTTGCTCCAAAATTGGCGCCACCTTGCTTCACTTTGGCGCCACCTTGCTTCACTTTTTGGGAAACTGGCGCCAGTTGGCGCCACTTGTAGAGTACCGCTGTGAAGTTAGTAAACTGGCGTGGGTTTGCGCCAGTGTGGTGCCGGTCCGTGCTATGTTGCTGGAAATTGTACTGTGATACACCCGTGTGGAGTCGCGTCAACTGGCTTTTTATAATTTATAATTTTCACTCTTTTTTCTTGTATAAACACAACCAATAGGTGAGAAATATTATTGACATAGACAGAATCAATATAATAAGCAAATATGTATATAAGTTGCTCTTTTATGACTCGATTCTTATCAATTTTAACACAGAAAACTATACCTGCTAGAGGCACATCAAATCATTCCCAGATTTAAACGTTACTGTCCCCAGCAATGTACAAGACTCAATTCAGGAAATATTCAATTATTTCAACATAACATCACACAGACAATCAATAGATCACTATGCTAAGCATGACTGAATCAATGCAAAGAACTCCTAACAATGCCTTCTATTCTCATGAAAATATCAGACTCTAGCTTGAACACCCCTCACCAAGATAAACATATAACGCTCAACACTCAAGTGTTTGGGGGAGTAACAATCACTCAATCCATCACAGCAATAGCACTACCATAAGCTTGATCATATTCTCAAGTTCCTAAAGATGAGGAACATTAACACATGCACAATTGATCAAAAGGACTTCTCATGGATATAATTTGGCCGGGCTTAGGGGTAGAAATTTATGGGAAGTAGCTAAAATTGTTAGTTGAGATTGGAATACTGATATATTCTTGAAAACAATCAAATCTCAAACAAATTTCAGCTCCAATATTCTTTAAGATCAGGGTCCATCCTTTTTATTTTCCACCTTCTTTTCTTTTTCTTTTTCTTTTTATTTTATTTTTTTACATTGCTATAGACCCTTTCAAAAAATTTCAAAGAAATATTTTATATTTCTTCTTTTCTTTTTGACATAT